TGCAGGGACCATGGTTTGATTCCCTGTGTGCCCTGCTGGCCCTGCCCCCAGGGTGCACTGAGAGAGTGATTGGGACTGGGTATGGTGGCTCACACCTGTAATCCCAGAGCTTGGGAGGCTGAAAACAGGAGAATCACTACAAGTCAGATCTATATAGTGAGACCCTGTAGACTCTACTACATACATTAAAAATAAAATTAAAAACTAAAAAAAAATACTAAGCTATGGGCAGGGCAGACAGCTCAGCAGTAGATAACTTGCCTAGTAGACACAAAGCCCCACATTCAATCCCCAAAACCACAAAGGGAAAATATTTTTAAAGACCTAAATTGGATATGGGAAATACCCCATTTGAAGTAAACATACTTTTCCATTTTATATTTTCTTGCATGTCATGAAATATGAATCAAATTAATTTAACATGAATATTAGTTGACCAAAGATAATTCTAAAATTGAAATTGGTTTGTTACTGAGCTCCAGCGCAGGGTCATATAAGCAACCTTCTGGGATCTAGCCTTGGAGAGACCCCTACTCTACCCAGCAGGACGCTGTGGAACAGAGGTTTCCGTCAGAAGTGGCGCAGGTGTCCCGGCCCCGGCACTGGAGGGTGTGGGCTCCCGGGCTGCCTGAACTTCCCCAGTGGACAGGTGGCCGCCTGGTGGCTCAGTGATGACCGTGTCTCTCTGTCTTCCTGAAGCAATGGCTCACGCTGAAGCGGACCCTGGCGCACACGGCACTGGCGCAGCTGGGGAGCGTGCAGCCACTGTGTGCGGGCTGCGTGGAGATCCGTGCTCGGCTCCTGGGCCTGGCTGGAAGGGCCCTCCACCTGCTAGCCCTGCAGGTGGACCCCCTGCCCCCTTCCTTCCACTGGGAAGAGGGCGTCTCGGTAGGTGTCCCACTTTCTGCCCACTTCTGGGGTTCAAGCACCACTTGTTCCTCAAGAGTATGAGCATTAGGTTTTATTTATTGATTTATTTATTTATTATGTATTTAGTACAGCATGTACAGGGTCTCACTACACAGCTCAGACTCCTAGTGATCCTCCTGTCTCAGCCTCCCAAGCACTGGGATTACAGGCACGTGCCACCACACCCAGTCTCAATCGCTGTCTCAGCGCTCCCCGGGGGTGGGGCCAGGCATCAGGTTTAGAGTCATCTGATCTCATGCTCGAACTGGGGTGCGAGAGACTGCTACCCTGAGTGAGAGCGAGCATACTCTAGCAGCTCTCCACCTCATACCTGGCCGCACACAGGACCCTGGGGAGTTGCAGAAAGCCTGAAGCACTGGGCTGGGCTGGGCTGACCTCTGGCTGCTGACCACATCCTAACGTGCAGTGGGGCAGTTCTGCCGCCACCTCTGCTCCTCCACCCACCACACAACCAAGGCTTAGCACAGCCAGGATGCTGAGATTGTGAGGGAAAGCTTTACCTTCTCCCCCGCCCACTCCTTGCAAGCACCCCACCAAGGCTGCCTCACAGGACTAAGTGCTTTCATAGAAGCTAGCTGCCCTCTGAGGACGCTGGTGACAACCCCCGCAAGCCCTGGATGTCCCAGGTCTCCTTCCTGAACACCTGTGTAGAAGTGGTTCCTCACCTGGAAGGCATCTGCCTGGGTGGACAAGCTAGGATGTTCTCACAGACCAGCTCCTTTAGGAAGACGACCCCCCAAGTCCGAACAGCAGGCTCTGTTCCTCCCAGGCTCCACACCAAGGCAGGGCCCAGCAGGGTCTGTGCAGCCCTGGGGTCAGCCGCTTGTGGCTGTTTGTCCTCTGTGCTCAGGACCCAGGACAGATTGAACTTTATGGTGGAAGCACAGGGGGCTTGGTGCCTTGATTCAGCCAGGGTTCAGGAATGCGTGGGCAGGCCCTGTCAGTCAGGTAGAGAGGACCAGACGGGAGGCCCTTGCCCACCACTCTTAGAAGCCGCACGGCATGGTGCAGACAACCTCTGCAAGAGGCTGTCACAGAGCCTGAGCAGGAGTGCTCCAGGAGAGGCGCAGATGCTGCCCCAGGGCTGGGGTCTCCAGCCCCACCTTTATCTGTTCCTTTCCTTGTCTCATAGATGTGTCTTATTGCTACTGTCTATCTTCTTAAAACCAAAGCTGAAACCAGCGTGGGCTTCGTTCTCATGTTCCAGATGGTATCTTTTCTCCTAAGTCCTGTTTCGGTCAAGTTTTGATGCTGACGTATGTTAGTATCTTCATTTTCAGCATGAGTTTGCGTATTCTCTAAATTCCACTGTGATGTCTCCTTAACAAACTGGATGATTCTATTTGTGTTGCCTGCTTTCGAGGTACTGTGTACAGGCACCTTCTGTTATTCAGTCCTTGTCTGATTTCACTGTAACTAAAAAAAACAAACTTGGGTGATCTTGGACCTTTTAGATTTCTCTTATTCTCTCACACAATGCTCTTTAATTTTATTTGTACATTTTAGATACACATGCTAATAGCATTTCTCATAAAGAGTTTGTGATCTTTCTTGATTGTTAATACATGAAATGTCTTGATTCCTCTTCATATCCCTTTCCCCTCCCCTCCCTTCAACCCGTTTCTCCTCCTTATTTACAAAGCTTTGTTTCTATTTTTCCTTCTATTTTTTCCTTCACTCTTCCTTCCTTTTCTCCTCCCCCATCCCATCTCCCTTCCCATCTGAACTTTTTCTTCTACTTCACAATTTCTATCATACATTATGTTCCTTATTACACTTTTGATTTCTCACACCAGGCAAAACACGAGATATTTGAACATGTGTCTCCAAGAAATTTCACTAAAGAGTACAGTCTCAAGGTCCATCCATTTACCTAAAAAATGACTCAAGTTTATCCTTCTTTATAGCAAAGTAGGAGTCCATTGTATAAAAAAGCCACATCTTCTTTATCAATTTATCAGTTGATGAACATTTGGCTTGTGTCCAAGACTTAGCTATTACAAAGGACATGAATATAAACATGGGTGTGCATGTATTACTGTGAAATGATGCGTTTAATTCCTTGGGGAAGGTGCCAAAAAAGGAGGATAGCTGGGCCAAAGGAAACTCCCAATTTTAGTTTTGTGAAGAATCTCCACACTGATTTCCACAGTGGTTGCAGCAGTCTACACTCCCACCAACAGTGGAGAAGCACTCTGTATTACCTACAGCCCAGCCAACATTTGTAATGAGTTGATTTAACAGTCATTCTTTCTTGGACTGACATGAAATCGCTGCATTGTTTTAATTTGCATCTCTCAAATGATCAGCAATATTGAACATTTTTTTATATCTTCATTTGCCATTTCTACTTTTTCATCTGAGAAGTATCCATTCATTTCAGATGCTCTTTTTTTAATTGGGTCTTTAAATTTAAGCCATCTGATTTTTTAAAAAGTTCTTTATATATTCTAGAGCTTAGCCTTTTGTCAGAGAAATAGGAAAAATAATTTCCCAATGTGGGTTTTCTCTTTGCCCTGTTGGTAGTTTCTTTTGCTGTGAAAAGCTTTTAATTTGCATGTGATCCTCATTGTCGATATTTTGTTACATTTTTTGTGTGTGGTTAGGGTTTTATTCGTAAATATGAATGTCCCCAAGGGTTCTACCTGAAGAGTAGAGTTCTACCTTCTTAGATTTAGTGTTTCTGTTTTAATATATAGATTTTTGATCCATTTTGATTTTAGTGCATAATGAAAGATATGGACCTAGTTTTATTCCTTGGCCTGTGGAAAGCCAGTTTTTCAGCACCATTTATTAAAGAGACTTTCTTTCTTCCAATGAAGGTGTTTGGCACCTTTGTCAAAGATGAAGTGGTTCAATTTGTTTGAAGCTGTTTCTGCATCTTCTAGTCTGCTTCACTGAACCTTTTTTTTCTCTCATGTTGTTTTTTATCACTGTAGCTTTGCAGTATAATTTCAAGTCAGGGATTGTGATAATTGCTGCCTTGCTTTTGTTGCCCATACTTGCTTTTACTATTCTTTCTCTATCCTGGTTCCAAGTGAATTTTAGGATTGTTTTCACTAATTTGTGAGGGATGCTATTGATGTTTTAATTTTGTATTGAATCTATAAAATAATTTTGAAAGTATGGCCATTTTTACTGTATTGGTTCTGCCTATCCAAAAACAGTGGATATCTTTACAATTTCTAAAATCCTCTTTGTTCTCCTTTCTCAGAATACTGTAGTTTTCAATGTAAAGGTTTTTTAGGTCCTTCATTAGACTGATTCCTAAGTATTTCCTTTCTTTTTTTTTTGGATGTTATTGTGAAAGTTATAGTTTCCCCAATTTCTCTCTCAGTGAGTTTGTTATTTGTGTGCAGGAATGTTATTGATAGTTGAGTGTTGACTTTGAATCCAGGTGTACTACTGAAATTTTTTTCTTGTGGAACTGGGAATTGAACTCAGGCCCTTGTGCTTGCCAGGCAAGCACTTATTCTACTGAGCCATCTCCCTGGTGCCATCACTACTGAATTTTATTATTAAATCTAGAAGGCCTTTGGTGGAGTTTTGTGGCCTTCTATGTAGAGTATCATGTCATTAGCAAATAATGATAATTTAACTCTTCTTTTCCTGTGCTTATTCCTTTTTCTTTTCTCATTGCTCTGGCTAATGTTTCCAGACTATATTAAGATTAGTGATAGTGGACAGTTGTCTTCTCTCTGATATAAGAGGGAAATCTTTCCATTTTTAACCAGTTATCATGATGTTGGATTTCAGTTTGCCATAATGGTTTTCCTCAGCTTGAGAAGAAAAGCTTCTATTCCAATTTACTTTTGGATTTTTAATCATGAATGGGTGTTGGACTTTGCCAAATGCTTTATCTTCATCTCTTGAGATGATCGTGTGGTTTTTGTCCACAGCTTTGTCAGTAGTGTATATTACATTCCTTTATTTGTGTATGTTGAGCCATCCCTTCGTTCCTGATATCTTCTTGGTTATGGTGTGTAATCTTCTTGGTGATTTGCTTCATTCTGTTTGTCAGTATCTCTTTGAGCAATTTTGCATCTGTGTTCATTCAATTGGCCTGGAGCTCTCTGTTTTGGTAGGATGTTTCTCTGGCTTTGCTAACAGGGTAATGTTGCTTCCAGGAATGATTTTGGAAGTATTTCTTCCCTTTTGATTTCATTAAAGTTGAGGAGAGTTACCCTTAGATCTTCTTTAAATTTATTGTAGAATTCAGCAGTGAATCCATCATGACCTGGACTTTTCTTTGTTGGTAGTTTTATTACTTCTTCAATTCCATTGATGGATATTGGATTATTTAGACTCTTTATATCTTCTTGATTCAACCTTGGTAATTCATGCGTTTAGGAACCAGTCCATTTCTTCTGCAGCTTCCATCTTATTAGAATACAGTTTCTTAAAGTAGATGTTAATGAGCTTCTAGATTTCTGTAGGATTCATTGTGATTTCCCCTTTTTAGTCCTAGTTGCATGTGTCTGAGTCATCTTCTCCTGATAAGGTTGACTAAAGTTTGTCAATTTTACTTAATCTTTGAAGGAACCAACTCTTCAATTCATTGATTCTTCATATTGTTTTCTTAGTCTCAGTTGCATTAATTTCTTCTCTAATCTTTATAATTTCTTCCCTCCTGCAATTTGTACTTTAATTGTTCTTCTTTTTCTAGACACTTTATGTTCAACATTAGGTTATTTATTTGAGCTCATTTTTTTCTTTCTTTCTTTTCTTTCTTGTTTTTGTTTGTTTGTTTGTTTTTGGGGTTTTTGGGGGTTTTTTGTTTTTTGTGATTCCAGGGATTGAACTCAGGAACTTATGCTTGCCAGGCAAGCACTTATTCCACTGAGCTATCTCCCTGGCCCCCTAATTCTTTTTCTGATGTGGAAATTTATTGCTATAAAGTTACCTTGTAAGACTGCCTTCACTGTGTCCCACAAATTCTGCTGTGCTGCACTTGCATTATCATTTAATTGTAGAAATTGATTTCTTCTTTAATTTCATCTATGATCCATTGGCTGTTCAATAGGGTGTTATTTAATTCCATGTGTTTATGAAATTTTTTGCAGTTTATTTTGCCATTGAGGTAGAATAGCGACCTTTGTCTCTCTTGATCAGTCTTGGCTTGACACCTATTGTCTTTAAATAAAATATCTACCTCTGCTTTTCTTCTGGGTTCCCATTGCAGACACTATTACTTTTCGTCCTTTGACTTTCAGTCCATGAATGTTATTTGTATGTAGCGTATTTTGCATCTTGTTTCTTCAGCCATTCTTCTAATCTGCTATTTTCAGTTGGCGAATTGAGACTGTTCGCATTGATGTTTAGCACTGTTATACACTGACTTATTTTGTAATTATATGATTTCCCTGTTATTGGTCCCATTTCCTTTCCCTCTGTTTAATTACTTGCCTTATCTGGTGAATTCATTCATTCCGTTCATGGAGTGCTGATGTGGTGGGAATGAATTTCTTCAAATGTTCTTTGTCATGGAAGTATCTTATTCTCCATCAATTTTGAAATATAGTTTTGTGAGACACATCAATCTGGATTGGAGGGCCAGGGAGATGGCTCAGTGGAATAAGCACTTCCCTGGCAAGCACAAGGGCCTGAATTCAATCCCTGGTTCTGCAGAAAAAAAAAAAAAAAATCTGGATTGGAGGTTGTTTTCTTTGAGGGCTTAAAATACTACAATCTCTCCTTGACTTGAGAGTTTGTGTTGAGAAGTCAACTGTGATTCTGATGGGCTTTCCTTCGTAGGTGATTTGTTTCTTTTCTCTGACAGCTTTTAACATTCCATTCTTGTTGAATTGCTGGAATCTTGACTACATATGCCTCTTTTTTTTCATCATGGCTAATGGCAGATCTATAAAGAAATAACAGAGACTACAACTCTGTGAACCCCGACAGAATGAATCGATGTGAATGAGCTCATATCCTTCTTGATTGACCCCAGCAAGCCAGCAGTAGAATTGTGGTGGTGGTGCTGGATAATCCCAGAGGACTATCCACCGAAGTTCAGGCTGCTTCTGCTTTCTTGCTGTGAGGCTGGTACCTAAGGTTTTTTCCACCCACAATACTCTGGGTGTCGCCTGGGGCTTGAACTCAGCTCCCGGGCCTCCTGCCAGTTTGAGTTCAGCTGCACTTCACCCTGACGCCGCTAGAGGGAGCCAACCTGCCGCTTCTCTGAGTTCTGCCTTCTGTTGGTTCCTCCAGCCAATCTCTCTCTGCGGGGGCGTGTGAACCTGAATAACTGAGCCCACTGCAGCCCACGGGGGCCACTGCTCTGTTCCACTAATGTGTGTCTCTGTGCAGGCCTCTGGGGTTGCCAGTAATCACCATGCATCTGCGATTCGAGCTGCCCCGCCCGCGCCGCGAGCTGGGGCGCAGGGAGAGCCACCTGCTGCCTCCCTCTTCCGTGCTGCGGTCCCTCCTGCGCTCTCCCGTGATCTCTGTCTCTCACTTCAGATCGTGGCTGGGTTCTGGGGACCCAGTTCCCTCAACATTTTCTTCCTCACGATGCAAATAGCATCTGGATTCCAAATATCAGAGAGGCTGTTTCTCTGCTGTTCTCCACTCCACCATTTTCGCAGTAGGATTTCTTGAAGTGACAAGAAACCTGGTGGGTTTGCCTTGCGTCCTCTGGAAGTCCACTGGGCAAAAGCCTCCCGGACCTTCTGCGCATGTGCTGACTTCCACCTACTTGGTCTGTTAACAATTGAGAGAGTATCTCAGACTTGCTGGAACTATGAACCCTCAGGACCCCGTGTCTTAGTTACTTTTCTCATTTCTGAGACAAAATATCCAATGCCTAAAGTTAAGGAAGGAAAGGCTCATTTAGCTTACCGTTTGTAGTGGTCCATAATCGGCTGGCTCCAACATGCGGGCAGCAGTTCGTGGGATTGGAAGACAGCAAAAGCAAAAAGGGAGGGAAGGGACAAGTCTCTTCCTGTCCCTTATAATATGTGCAGGCTACCCACACTAGGGCAGGTGTAGCTCTTGCACTCTTAAACCCAACATTGGACCATAAACCCATCTCACACACACTCTAGATTCGGCCACCTCTAAAAAGCCCACCCTCCATGGGTGCACGAGGCTTTAGGGGGACGTCTAGACACAAACCATAACACCCCACTGACCTAGGGGCCCGGACTCCATGTCTTCAGGGCCAACTGCTTCCTTAGCTGGCCTTCCTTCCTCCTCTAGCTTTTTGTTTTCTAAACAGATTAAGAGCTCTGGGGAAGAGGGTGGGCATTTGGTTCATTTTGGTGCCGAGCAGCATCAACATGAAGGGAGGTGTTTCCAAAGCACTGGATGGAAATGACCGCAGAACACAACGGATTCAGGACTCACACCTGCTCCCTTGGGGTGCAACCTCCACACCCAGGCTACAACTTTTGTGTGCGTCTCAGGCTTTCAAGCTACAGCTCCTCCAAATCCACTAAAGCAAGACTTAGGCAGGCTTGGGAGGTTCCAGGCACAGAGAGAAGCCAGGCTGGTCTGCAGTGCCCCGTGCCTGGCTCTGTCCACACTGACCAAGCAGGCTTCCCCAGAGCGCTGCTCATCTCCTGTGTGCATTTCAGGTGGACACCAAGCTGAGCAGCCTCCAGTCTCTAAACCCGGAAGCAGAGGACAGGGCTGTCAAGGCCACCACCAGGGATCTGCTGGCCTCTCGTGAAGCTTCTGAGGAACACAACAGGAAGGGTGAGAGTCTGAAGGTAAGTGCCTCAGCCTGGGGAGCCTCTGCTCACACAGCCTGCCAGAGCCTAAGACTTGCACTGCCCACAGAAGAAGATGGTGCTGGCCCAGAGGTACCTGGCCCAGGCGTCTGAGGTACTGCTGCAGTGCCTGCAGGTCGCCCTGGCCAGCGGCCTTCTCGACATCGTGGCAGCTGCCAGCCTGGAGATGGTCGAGTGCATCGGTACCCTGGATCCCGTGGCCACATGTCAGTTCCTGGCACTATCTCAGGTATGGTGCTGCTCTGAGCGCCTCCAGCCAGGCTCCTTTCAGGGCCCCGGGAGGAAGGAGGCCCCAGGAACCCGCGAGCCAGGCCGAAGCTGGCCTTCCCTGTGGGATGTGTTCCATCACAGAGGATCTGCCCATGGTGACTGGAGGAGGTGAGGTACTCCCTGTTTCCTGAGCCCCAGGCTCCTCTGCCCACCAGGCAGCAAAAGCCACCAGCCACGTGTTCTTGTGGCTCGTGGAGATCACATGCTTGTGTGCTCATCCCCAAGCACCACAGGGTGCAGGTCGGGAGACCCAACAGTCACAGGCCAGTGTGGCCCCACCTGTGAGGACCCCCCCCCCAGAGGCCCAGTGTGGCCCTGTGTGATTGCAGGAGAAGCACTGCTTCGTGGGGCCATTTGAGCCAGCACCACCCGGTGGGACTTCCTCCCAGCCCGGCCACAGTTCACCCTTCCACAGGGCCAGCTGTAATCCCACCACACGACACTCCCGCTGTCTGTTCTAGAGCTGCTCAGCCACAGAGATGATGCGGGACATCCTGCTCACAGCCACGGCCAACACCAGCAGCTCACAGCTGGCAGCCCTGCTGCAACTCCAGCATCAGCTGAAGCTGCGGAACAAGATGTCCACCAGCCTGTTCGCCAGCGTGGAACACAGGCTGGCTGCCATCTCCAAGGTGACTGGGCAGAGCCGCCTCCCCCCTGCTTCTTCTGCTGGGCCCACAGGCCTGGATGCTCCTCTGCCCAGCCTAAGAACCACAGCTTTGAAATCACACAGCTTCAGGCGTACACCCTGGCACGTCCTTGCCTGCTGCGCAGCGTGGCAGCCTCTGAGACTGTTTCCTCCTGGGCCTTGTGGGACAGTGACAAACCTCAGGGAAATTTGCTGAGAGGGCAGGGCCAGAAGAGGCAGTGCTGTGAGTGTTGAGCGACAAGAGCCTGGGAGAGGGCAGTGGCTCCCTGGCCCTCGCTTGCCACAGGTAGCATCTCAGACACAGGTGCAGTCAGAGACTGTCACCCTCAGAAACATTTGCAGTGCTGAAGGCTGTCACCCCTCTCTTATTTGAACAAGCAGGTTGATTCTGAGTATTTAAAGAAAAAAGGATGAAATGTTAGGAATCATGGCAAATAGGCAAGAAAGCGCTGACAAAATATCCTCATCTTTTTTTTTTTTTCTTAGTATTTAATACAGAGTGTCATGACACAGATCAGACTCATAGTGATTCTCCTGTTTTCAGCCTCCCAAGTGCTGGGATTACAGGCGCGTGCCACCACGCCCGGTCGCAACCACTGTCTGAGTGTGCCCCAGAGGCGGGGCATGCATGGCACTCCGGGGATAGAACCCCGGCTGCTGCACTCTGCCTGAGCAGGCGCTTTAGTCTGCTGAGCTATCTGGCCGGCCCCTCCCCTCATCTTTGTCTTCCCCTCTCACTGGCATATAACTGTCTTTTACCCCTTCAAGCCCTCCCCCTTTCTTGGTAGTTGGGGTCAGATCTTCCTGTTAGTGGATGGGAGTAGGGCTGCCTTACGCATGAAAGGACTATCTCCAAGGTGACTGGGCTGGGAGGCCTCCTCCATCCCTGAGTTCCAGGAACGATCGCACCCCTAGCCCTGTTGTGACAACCAAAACTGTCTTCAGACATCAGCACTAGGACAGCGTCACCCTTCTGAGAATGGGTGCCTTAACGAGGAGGTGGAAACGCAGCCTGTGTCAAGACTCCACTTTGGAGGCTGATGAAGACAGAGAGTTGAGGTCTGAGGCTGGCCCGGCATGAGAGGGGGGCGCAGAACACCTCACTTGCACAAAAAGCTGCTGCCAGTACCGTCCACTGGGAGATGGGGGAGGACACAGCTGTGGGAAGAAAGGGGCCACCTAGAAAGCACTTAAGGAATGCGAAGGTCCAAGTGGGTGGTGCGCACAGCCCACATGGCAGCCATCAGCCGGGTTCCCACTGCCGCCTGCAAGCTGGGGACAAGGCGTGCTTGCCGCGTAGGAGCAGGGACTCCAGTGCACCCCAGACTTTGCGTAGGGCTGGAGCATGTGCACCATCGCCTTCTCCCTCTTCCTCTGTGCACAGACCAACAGTACGGTGAGGGGAAGGAGACTGAGGCCAGGATGAGCCGGGGACAGTGGCCCCAGCCGGAGCCAGGAAGGTGGTGCCAGTTGTACAGCCACAAGAAGTAGCTAAGCTGAAGGGACGGGACGGGAGAGCCAGCTGACAGTCCCTCCTGGGTTCCAGGGTCCGGTAGATTCCCAATCAGCTGCGAGTGATCAACATGCAGGCGGCAGGCAGCAAAGGGGGCAGGCACCAGAGGTCCTCATGAATGACAGGTCGTGAACACCTAGCAGGTATCGCCAGCTGCGCGTCCCTCGTAGGAATCCTGGAGCCATAATTGTGGCGTTCCTTTCCTCATGGGGACAGGAGACAAAAGCACTAAACAAAAAAGGGGGGAAGTGATAGATTAGACTTTATGAAAATGAAGAACTTCTCATCACAAAAGCACCACGGGGACTCAGAAAGCAAGCTGCAGAGAAAGATGGTCACAGCACACACGACTGACGACAACTCGGTGTCCTCCGTGTAGTGCAGCCCACAGAGGTCAAAAGACAGACACTTCAGAGGAAAGGGACATGAGACTGATTTTACAAAAGATCCATTGGCACCCAGCAACATTTTTAATGTGTTTGTCATTTGGGAAGTGCAAAAGTTGAAACCACATTCAGGGGCAAGTAGACACCCACCAGAATGGCTGAGATGAAGGAGGGGCAGGCCTGCGGCAACACATGGCTATGGAGGACATTAGAGAGGAAGCGGGTGGGAAGATCTCCTCAGCTGAGCAAGCTTGATCCAGAAATTCTGTGAGTGGGGCAGGCCTGAGGAAGCCAGGCTTTACTGTGGTCTCCACAAAATGAGCTCTAGAAGCCTTGTCATAGCAGCATTCATGGTAGCTAAAGGGGGCACCAAGGATACGAGTGCGGTGTGTTCACACACCACAATACCCTGCAGCAAAGCACGGGGCTGGCCAGCACCTGAGCCAACCTGGTGGGGCTGCCGTGCTCCACTAGGTGAAGAGCCCAGGCCAACAGGCCCCAGCAGCTGCAGGAAGTCTGTTCACAGCCCCTGAAGACAAGGGTTGGTCTCTTCCCTGCCGTGAGGCTGTGGCCTATTGTGAAAATCCATGCAGCACTTCGTGTAGAGCTTATCAAACTTCGTACTGTTTTTTCTATTTCTATTCCTATTTCAATAATAACTTGTGTGTGTGTAGTACTGGGGATCAAACTCAGTATCTTGTGCTTACCAGGCAGGTGCTTAGGCCACTGAGCTATCTCTCTAGCCCTCAACGATAAATTTTTAAAACATGATTTCATTTTTGGAAACTTGAAGCTGTGACTTGGAGCTTTGGGGTGTATGGGCAGAACCTCCGTACTGAGGAGCACGGGTCATCTGGACCCCGCTGGCGCCCTCTCCAAGCCGCCTTTCATGGGCAGTGACAAGCCTAAGGGTGTACAGTGTCTGGTGTTACACAGAACTGTGGGGTCACAAGATCCCTGGTAGGCCAGAGTTGAAAGTCTGGGGTGCGCGGGCTGGAGCCTCCGTGTGGGAACAGTCCCCGATGCCCGGGGCTGCTCTGCAGGCATCATGGGGCACGGCAGTGTCTGTACACTCGCATGTTCTGCGTGTAATGGTGTCTGCATGTGTGGCTGCAGGAGACAGGACAGAGAAGGACCAGAGGAGAGATCACTGTGGAATTTTTCACCTCTTTTTTTGGATTTGTGTGCACCTTGGATCCTGCAAACCCATTTCTCACCCATGCAAAAGCTCAGAACGGGACAGGCCTCCAACTGACCAGTGACTTCCTTGGGTCTCTGCTGCCCCCTGGTGGCGGTCATCAGTCACTCCCAGCAGTTACTGACCCACCTGCCCCTCTTGGGCAGGAAAGGCTGTTTGGAACAACCCATGAAAACAGGGAGTGACCTGGTGTCCTAACAGCCCCCATTTCTTCTGTCATGCACAGGCCTGGCAGAACCTCTGTGTCACTGAGCAGCACTTCAACATCCTGAATGAGATTCCTCCCACATTCCGGGTCATCTTTCTACACTACTCACGGGACAGGCAAGCGTTCTCGGCCCCTCCTGACCCTCCTAGACAAGGCCAGGCAGGTGTGACAGGGTAGGGACACCTCTGTGATTTGGTGTGGATGGGTCCATATGTGAAGGCCTGAGGGCACCACTGACGTATAACAAAGGGCTGGCCAGCTGGGCCCCTGCCGGTCTCAATCCCAGTTGTGGCCAGGTAGCATTTGGGCTGGCTACCTGGAGCGCTGCCTGCCAAGGAGGGCACTGTGGCATACAGAGTCACAGAACTGGCCTCCTCGGGCTTCTCTAAGACCCAGGAGCCTCGAGGCACGTCTCTCCTAGCCACCCACCTGAGACCCTGCACCTGCCAACAGGTCCCAGCTATATGGCGCTGCCTATGAGAAACCAAAGTCTCTGCCTACAGTCAAAGGGAAAGCACCACAAGCGGGAGGTGAGCTTACTCAGGAGCGGGGCTGCGGGGGTGCTGTGGGGAGCCTGAGCCAAAAGCTGGTGCGCAGCAGGACCTCCCACTTCCAGAGGCTCCCCTGGTACCCATTCCTGGTGGGCTTGGTGGACCCAGCCTTCCACACAGACGTGGGTGTGGGGTGCAGCCAAGCCCGGGCCTCATGAGGAAAACAAAGCACCAGTGTTTCCCGGGGGTACAAAGAGCCAGTCACGCTGGAGATTTATTGCATTGTTCTAGGCCCCCCTACTTCACAGTAGGCTTCCCAGGCTTAGGGAGGGCCAGAGCCTCGTTAAGGGGACACAGCGCTTAGGCTGTGGAGGACTCCCCACTTGCACTCTGATAACCCTGCTGCTCTCACCATTCCCTGTGTGCGGCTCTGCTCTCAGCCCCGTGGGCTTCCCTGGTGCTCCTGTGTTTCTGCAGGCCATTGCAAAGTGATGCGGGTGGCTGTGAGCCCAGCTGCCTTGTCAGACCTGCTGGCCGGGGCACAGGAGTTCTGGGAGCAGACACAGGCCCAGGTGTACCAGGAGGACATGGACACGCCTCCAAGCACTGTAAGCCTTGGCCTGCGCCTGAGAGCCCCGAGACCCTCGGGTGGGGTGGGGTACAGGCCTCAGCCCAAACCTCCAGATGGGCTGGGCGTCCAGCACCACATACTGGGGCAATTTCTTTCCTGACTCTTTGGGCAGAGTCTGTTCATTGAGTAGGGAACTGAGCTGACTCTGCCCCCTGGGGCACAGGTCAGTCTGTCCCCAGGGCCTGGCACCATAGTGAAACAAGAGGGGGCTGAGGGTGTCAGAGTAGCCTCCAGAGGGCGGGCTTGGGGGAGCAGCAACACCCGGGGGCAGGGCCCGCTGCGCCTGCACTGCGCTCCCACACACAGCCCACCCTGTCTCCAGTGCACTGTGGAAGGAGGAGACTGCGACCTGGCTGGGGCCTCATGGGGTCCTGACCGCAGATTATGGCTTGGTTGGGACAGGATTCGGACTCCGTGCCCACCAAAGAGAAAGGGCCCTGCCAGCGGAGGCTCAGCGGCGTCCTGGCGCCCATGGAGGAGTACCTGAAGCCCATCCTCCCCCTGCTGCGCTCCGCTGGAGTCAGGTATGGACCTGCCCTCGAGTCTGCTGTGTGGAGCCCCAGCCCAGTCCCAGCAGGGCTCGTGTTGGGTGCGGACTCAAGTCCACAGCTATTCTCCAGGGACCTCGCAGCACCAAAGGCCCTGATGCTTGAATCTGGGAGCCTCCGCTTAACTACCCTCCCCGCCCTGGCATCTGCTGTGTCTGTGAGTGAAGGAGCCACATGGCCTGTGCTCCGTGGCCGGGTGTAGCAGGGGGCCTGCAAGTCCCAGTCCTGGTCCCAACTCTTGGACTTATTTGGAGGCACAAAAGAAGCAAGGGCAGGCCGGGGCAGGGAGTGAGCTGTGCCAGCAGGGGAGGGCCGGTCCGAAGTCAGCTCCGCTGGCACTTGTGAAGTCACCAGGCCCCGGAAGCGAGCTGCAGCATCAGCACTGGCCCGCTGCGTGCTTTTTATACTCTCTGTGTTGCTTCTGTGCTTTTAGAACTTGATCACACTGCTGACTTTCAGATTGCAGACGTCCATGGTTATGGCTGACCCCGGGAGGGCAAAGGGCAAAGAAAAAGAAAGGAAAGCATCCATCCCGACAGGTGAGTGGCCGCGCACACGCCCACAGCACCACGGTCCAGTTGACGCACACTGCTACACGACGCACACTGCTACACTGCGCACGCGCGCGCGCACACACACACACACACACACACACACACACACACACACACACACACCAGCTTCTGGCATGGGGAGAAGGTAGGCTGAGGTGTAACCTCAGATTGGGAAAGCCGAAGGCTTCAGGAACCAAGGACCATGTCCGTACGAGACCAGGAGCCTCTCACGAGACCCATCGGCCCCACCGGCCCAGCCCACATCAGGCTGGGTCGGAGGTCCTGCAAGGCTCCGCAGCATCTCACCAGCCCAGCAGAGAGCACAGCAACCCGCCCTTCTTGGGTCAGGGCCAGCTCTGGTGCAGCAGGAGACAGCAGTGTTGTGCCCAAAGGAAGGGAAGGTTCTGAGGATGCCTCTAGGAAGGAGGCAGTTAGGGCCCCGAGCTCACCCCGAGGCTGTGGGGGAGGCCAGCAGCCCTCCTCACATCCTGCTGAGCTCTGCGTCCTGAGCCTACTTGGGATTCAGGCCCTGTTGCTTCACACTCGCTTAGGAGGAATGTCAGGACATCCTCGCAGCATGGTGAATAGAAATAGGTCAGAGTTGCATTTTCTTAGCTCAGCACCTTTGATTCTATACAGCACTATTTTAAAGAACATTTCTTCTCTTAAATTTTTATTTGCCTGCTTTTCTATTTTCCACAAAGACTTGTGGAGCAGAGAACAAAAGGGGTTGTTAAATGTCACCCACCGGAAGAGAGCCCTGATCACAAGTGCCGAGTGCCTTTTCGCCCCGTCCAGCTGCCTACCAGCCAGGAGGCAGAGTAGCCCAAGAACTGCCAATTACAAAGCAGTCAGACCCGAAGATGGACGTTTCAGGGATTAGATGCAGTCAGTAGTTCAATCTCCAGCGCCATAAAAAGAGAAGAAAAACCCGATAGTGGTTTCAAACCAGCTTGTTTTGGTTTATACATAAAGAAAATCCAATTAAAACATCTCTTTCACCCAGCACTTAGAACTAATTATATGACTGCAAAAAGTTCAGGTTCTCACAAATAAACTGCAATCTTTGCCCTGGCAGTCACCGGAGAGGAAACTGAGTCACAAGGCCAACGCTGCCCTTCCCCCAAGTATCCCCTACAAGATCCACTCTTGGGAAAATCCTCAGGGTTGTTCATTCTCTGAAAGGTGTTTTCTGCTTAAAGGAGCCATGCCATTGCAGGTCCCACCTCATGTCTAAAATAAGGCATTGCTGATATGTAGGCCAGGGCTCGACCTAGTACCCCTAGAATGTAAGTCTGACCTAACACCATCAATACCAGTGTCCAGCCCGGTGGCCCTCGCATGACCTCAGGGACTGCGCCTCGCAAGCTGGGCTGAAGGAGACTTAAGGATCACACTGGTGGGTGACATGGTCAGGCCTGCAGCCCCGCAGCCAAGTCAGGACTCAGGATGACGCTGAAGCCTGTGGGGTTCGCCTGTCCTCAGGGGCTTATGTCACCACCCACTTGAGCCTCTATCGTTGCTGCATCCGTAGTTCACCCTGACACTGAGGACAGCGTGATCCTGATTGTAGACAGGCACCTCCTGGAGCTGCCCCTGGAAGGCCTCTCTGTGTTCCATGAGGGCGCCATCGCCTCCGTATCACGAGAATTTTCTCTCCAGATGCTGTGGAATCGCCTCCATAAAGAAGAGCTGGGTAAGACCCACCTTTAGCCACGTAGTGTTTCGCTTTAAGATGGAAATATCAGCATGACTTTTCAGATAAAAGAGGGTTAACTCTTGTCGGGAGGAAGAAAGCAAAAGCTGCAACATTTTCCTGGGCAGTTACTTGATGGAAAATAAGTACAGAGCATGCCCCCTGGGTGCCATTTATGGAGGCCTCCCTGGTGCCGGTGTTCTGAGGGGCTCACCCTGCAAGGAAGAATGCCAGCCTTGTGCTTTCCCTCCCTGATGCTGTTCTTTCCCATAGAGAGGCTGGTGGCAGATAGTTTAGCTCATAAATCATCATTTACGTAGATAGGGAGAAGCTGGAGAGGCCAGGATGCCCTGAGTGAGGCCTTCAGGGCAGACAGCAGGAGTCAAAAATAATCTTGCTCTGTTACTGAGCACTGGTGTGCGATATGCCAGCCTGTAAGAGTTCTCCAAGCTGTACACTGGGGATGCATGCAGTTTCTGGTGTATATGTTTCACTTCAGTAAATACAAAATTAAATTAAAAATAAGTACATTATAAATTGGCTACTATGGAAGATGAAGTTATAACAGTAACCAAATTTGTGGCCAGACAGGGCTGGTGAGATAGTTCAGTGGAGTAAGCACGTGCTTAGGCAAGCACAGTCGCCAAGGTTCAATTCCTAGCACCAGATGCTGTGCCAGCCTCACCCCCAGGTGCACTGGGCCGACATGGAGTCTGGACGTGGTGGCACACGCCTGTAATCCCAGAACAAAAGAGGCCGAAAACACCGGGATCACGATGAGTACAAGCTGTGTAGTGAGGCCATGTACACACACACAAAAAAAACCTAAATGCCAGGCAAAAAATACCAGAGGGACACCAGGCTGGCAGGACAACGGCCCATCCCTGAGAGGAAACGACGAGTGGAAGCTCCACAGGCGACCCACCCTACTTCCTGGGGAGCTTCCAGACCCAAGCATAGCAGGGACAAGCAGGAGGATCCCAGGAGGGTGGCCCTGGGTTGAGGAAACACAGCTGAGCAATGAGGAAGCTAAGGTGGGTGCAGGAGTGAAAGGACAGGAGACCCCAGACCACCACCTGACAGACAGATCGCTACGGAGGCCCGCAAAGGACCCACAGGTCAGCCAAGAGCTGAGTGATGCCGAGGAGTGAGGAAACCACCCCAGGTCGGGGAAAGAAAGGATGAAATGGTAAAAAGATGGCAAAAATGGATGAATACAGTGTAAGGGGTTTTCCTGTTTTTAAAAACTCTTTAAGACATTTTTAAGAAAAAAAAAAACCATGATGGAGGGCCAGGGAGATAGCTCAGAGGACTAAATCCCTGCTTGGTAGGTGCAAGGACCCAGGTTCAATCCCTGGTACCTCATGCTGTGCCGTGCCAGCCACTGAAACTGGGCATGGTAGTGCACACCTGTAATCCCAGCGCTGGGGGGCCCAAGCAGTGTAGTGAGACCCTGTACCAAATAAATAAATCTTTAAAGAAAAATAATAAATTTCAAAAAAACACCATGGAGGCATTTTATAACATGTAATATAAGATGTCTAATAATAACAGAACAAAAGCTGAAGAAGAAAATGGAAAATACTGTTAATGTTTTTATACTGTATATAATGTAGCATATTACTTGAAGGAAGGCCATAATAAATTAAAGATGCCCTCATGCAACCATTAAAAACAAATAAGTAAAACTCCTAAGAGTTTATAATATGGGCTGGGGAGATAGCTCAGTAGAATAGACCTTGCCTGGCAAGCACAAGGACCTGAGTTCAATCCCCGGTTCCACCAAAAAAAAAAAGTTTGTAGCTGATATAAAGCTGAAGAGGATAAAATAAAGTTGTAAGTAGTCACTTAATGTTCAACATCATTAGTCATAAGGAACATTCTGAAAGTACAGCAGTGTATGACCACACATAATGTAGAATGACTGAAGTTAAAAAGAATGACCATACCAAGTGCTGGCAAAGATGTGGAGGAACCATGTCTTTGTGCTCCACAGAAGGGGGATAAATGGCTGAACCTCCACGGGAATGGTGAGTGTATTCAGTGGGCGTACATCCAAGAGAAATCCTCACCATTATGCTGACGAGACATCCAAACACCCATGTTTATTGCAGTACTTCTCATAGCGCCAGAAAATGCAGTCAACTTCAGTCCCCAGTGATGAATGAATAGATTTTTTTTAAAAAAGATGGTACATGAAAAGTGGTATAGGGGCCGGGGAGATGGCTCAGAAGGATAAGCGCTTGACTGGCAAATGCAAGGATCTGAGTTCAATCCCCGGTTCCGCAAAAAAAAAAAAAAAGTGGTATAAAGGTTTGATAAAAAAAATATGGTGAGTGCTTTTAAAAAGTTTGTTAAATCTTACTATGGTAAAAGACATACTGTGGTCAGTCTGCCTTAAAGTTCTCCCCAGCTTCCAACACACTTATCCCATCATTCCTGACACTTCCTGAAGCTATTGTGCAAGTCCTCTTTTATCAGTGTCTTCAGTTGCACTTCTGTGGCTAGCCCAGTGTCCTGACTCGGTTCAAAATGGTTAGCTTTCAGGGTCATTTCGACTTGGGGAAAGAGCCGGAGGTCCCGTGGTGGTCTTAGACCCAATTAATAAAGTAGAAGAGGACAACCGTAATGTTTTTATTAGATAGAAACTGCTATAAATATTTCATCAATGGGATGATCAAAAATGCAATGCATGCTTAAAAATGATTAGAGTAAAACACAAATTGCCATTAATTCTTCTCAGAATATCCCCCCTTGCTTCAAGCACTATTCTTGGCAATGTGTCTTTTACTGTTATAATGTATTTTAAATGTACATACTTGTAATCCCAGCACTCTGGAGGTTAAGAGAGAAGTACTGCTGCCAGTTCAAGTCCAGCCTGGGGATGCAAAAGTGAGCACAAGGCCGGCCCGAGCTGCACAGTGAGACCCTGCCTCAAAACAAAACAAAACAATAACAATAATAAAATGTAAACACTTACTGTATTTTTTATCACACCTTATATCATTCAGTCATAAAAAAAGAAAAAACTGGGCTAGGGATGTGACTCAGCTAGTAGAGGGCTTACCTAACACGCACAGGCCTTGAGTTCAGTTCCTAACTGATTCTTTTGTTAAAAAAATAAATATTTAGGGAAATATTGTCACTTAAGATCACATGGATGAGGGGGCTGGGGAGATGGCTCAGTAGAATAAACGCTTCCCTGGCAAGCGCAAGGGCCTGAGTTCAATCCCCGGTTCCGCCAAAAAAAAAAAAAAAAAAAAAAAATCACATGGATGAATCGGGAGGACATATGGTGAGTGAAATAAGCAGGCACAGACAGACACATACCATGTGGCCTCACTCCTGCGTGGCATCCTACAACTGTGGCTCAGAAGCAAAGCTTTAGGGCGGCTCCCAGAGTCTGGGAGCTGGTGCAGGCTGCAGAAACCTGGATGGGAACAAGCAAATTTTCATTCAGGGGAAAAAAAGCAAGAGATGTACTGCCTTCACTGGGATGCATACGAGGCTGTGTTCCTGGGAGCTGCTGAGGTGGTTTTCTGTGCTTCCACCACAAGGAAGCCGTGGGTGTGAGGTGCTCGGATGTCGTCTGGCTCGCAGACTGTTCAACAGTGAATGTGTGCTTCAGGGCAGCCTGTTGTACATAGTATTGATGTGCAGTCTGTGTTCATCCATTCAAAAAAGATGAATTGATAAATTTAAAATTTTAAAATAAAATGAATAAATAAAGAAGGCCAACTATATCAAGTATCAGCAAAGATACTTGATACAGTTGTAACAACTGGATGAAGCTCACACACGCCAACGGTGTGAATGCCAATAGCAGAACCACTTTGGAAAAGTTTGGAAGCTTCTTAGAAAGTTAAACACAGACCCACCGTGTGGCCCAGCCCTTCCGCTCCTAGTGCTTACCCAAGAGACGAGGAAGCCCATGTCCACATGAAACCCCAATGCAGATGTTCATAGCAGCTTTCTGAGTAAGAGCACATCTGGAAACCACTGAAATGAAAGGCCAAGAAACTGATGGTCCTCTGAGTGCCTCAGTGGGTGGACAAGGCATGATGGTATATTTACAAAATGGAATATTATTCAGCAGTAAAGGGTAGAAGGAATGGGCATTAGTAACAACTAATGTAACAACTGGATGAAGCTCTAAAGAATTATTCCAACAAGCCATACATATGATTTCACTTTTGTGGACTTCCAGGAAGGGCAAACTGATTTATAGTCAGAAACCAGGTAAGTAATCTCCAGGGAGGTGTAGTAAGAAGAGTGAACGAGAAGTGAAGCCAGGATGGAGATGAATGGGTCTCCATGGGTCTCAGGAACGTGTCCCCCACGGAATGGGAGCGGGCAGAGCCCAGACCTGTTCCTCTGTTCTGTTGTCTGCGGAGGCCCTGGCGCAGCCAAACCAAAATGGGGTGAAAACAAAGGGGTTAGAGAAAAGATTCCCGCTATTGGTGTACATAGCTGTCTACTCAGAGCCTCAGACATTCTGGAATTCAGTGGAGACTTTAATATAGGACAGCTGGAAGGTCCAATGCAGAAAGAACCAGCAGGGACAGGGACAGGTGAGTGCCTGATAAGAGTGTGTGGATAGGGCCAGGGAGACAGCTCAGTGGCATAAGCACCTGTTTGGCATGCGCAAGGTCCTGAGTTTGATCCCTGGTACCACCAAAAAAAAAAAAAAAAAAAAGTGTGTGAATGTTGAGCCAGGTGGACCTGGGAGCCTTTCGAGAGTGGGCCTTCTGGTCCTTTCTTGAGGGTCTTTCCAGCCTATAGAGCTTCTTTTTTTTTTTTTTTCCTATTGAGCTTTTGCATTTGAGAAATTGTTGCCGTTGGGCCCTAGGAGACTTCAAATCAGCTGTTCTCCTTATTTATTTGGGAAATTTACAGAACATAAAACTATTTGCTTTGTTTTGCTGTACTAGAGATTAAGCCCTTTGAACTGAGCTATATCCCCAACTCTGTAATAAATAATTTGGCAGTCTGTGGGGACAAGGTCTCACTGAGTTACTAGGTTGTCCAGCCTGGGCTTGAACTTTCAGTCCTCCTGCTCAAGCCTCCCAGAGTGCTGGAATTACAGACATGTTCCACCACACCCAGCCTATTTTTAAGTTGAACAATGCAGCTCCATTTGATATATCCACAATGTTCTGGAACCACCACCACTGCCTATTTCCAACGTGTCACCACTTCATTTTATTGTCTTCAACAGAAGGAACTGTGAAAAAGGAGGGCAAAGGCAAAGATGTCAAAAAGAAAAGCATGGCAAAGAAGGGCATGAAGGTAGGTAGACAGAGGGCCACCCCTGGGGCTGGAGGTCCATAGTCTCTGGCAGAGCTGTCAAGGGTGGTGGCCCAGCCCACCACAGTAGAGGCCGGCAGGGGCCCAGCTGAAGGTCTGCATCCCCTCTCAGCCGTGGATGGAGGACTCCTGATGCTTGTGTCTGTTGCTGTAGGGCTCCACCATCCGGATAATCCCGTCTGACTGCATCATTGTCGACTCCGACAGTTTCAAGTGTATCTTTTGCCAGGCCCTTGTGATCCAGGGACACCCACCCCACGCCCCTGTTTGTCCTTGACCAAGACTCAGTTATTGTGGATCCATTCGAGGAGGCACAGGGCACAGGTGGGTGCCTCGCACGGCCCCTTGACAGCATAGAGCGGGGCTTGCAGCTGCATGGAAGTGAGCTCCAGGTGGTCTCTGGTGCGCCCTACTGGGGCTCTCAATCTGAATGAGTGCTGCTACAAATATTTCCATTAATCTTTTTCTTTTCCTAAGCTGGTTTAACAATCTGTCCACAGAGGTGGGGAAGGGGAGGATGGGCTAATATCCTGCGGCACTAACACAGCCTTCTCCCCTGCGGCAGTGGATGAGGGGACTCTGCCTCCAGCCATTCCTTCCTCCAGGATTCAAAACTATGCCTTGTATCCCCCAATTCTCCCTGCAGAAGTGCTGACTCCTGTCTCCATAATGCGGGAAATTTTGGAAAGATTCCGAGAAAGCTTCACTGCGCGATGGGTGGGGCATCTGGGAAGCCAGCATTTCCCAAGGTTTGGAATTAGTTATCCAGCAGCCAGTGCCCAGTGCCAGGAAACACCTGGCACCCACCACAGACAGCACCTTCCCCTCCCCACCAGGTCCACCTCACGAAGCCGCAGACACAGCACTGGGTGGTGGGGGCTGTTGATTACTCCACTTTAAAAATGGGGCCAGAGTCCCAGGGTCCCCTGGCAGGACAGAGCTCAGCAGCAGAGTCTGCTGCTAGATGACCTGGAACTTCCACAGGGTCTGGGACTCAGTCCAGGCACACTCACACGTGGCCAGTCCAGAGTGAGGGCCTCAGGGGGCGGACAGGCTGTGCTAGGTGACAGGCCCCCATATACAACTCTGTCCTTTGTGTGAGTAGGGATGGAGAAGAGAGTGCTGTGACAAGTTACAGGGACACATCTGTAGGGTGTGTGCAGGGCAGGACTCCTGACAGGGGGAGCGGGGAGCTGAAGAGTGGGCACGGGGCTGGGCACGGGGCTAATCTATCAAAGGAGCTTGTGGGTGCCTCCAGAATTTTGTTGTCCTTGGATGTCAGGGAAGCCTATTCTACTGTTTTCCAGAACCAATGTCACCCAATAAGACGTGTGTTTATTCCTGGAGAGAATTCTGTTCTTGGGGAGAATCTATCGGAGAGAGGCCTACGGCGAGCATTGAGAAACAAAAATAGCTTGGGTTCCAGGATAGGATTTGGGGTGGCATGTAGACACAGGGGAGCTCTGATTCAAGAATGCATCCCAAGGAGGTTCAGCATCTGCTGCCTTTCACCCCGTGCAGCCAGGCTGAGTGGGAGCAGGCGCTGGGCAGCTGCAAAGGCTTCTTCTTCTACGGAATGGAGAGCTTCCTGTCACACATATTAGTGGACAGACTGGTCGCCATGAATCTGCAAGGTGAGTCCCCCTCACTCCATGGCCAGACTTTGTCAGGATGTCTAGGTGCAAGGTAAATCCACAGGACAGAGCGGGACCATCCCCCTAGGCAGAAGCCCCAAGGCCCGAGGGGCTTCCAGCAGGCACAAATCCCACTTCACCTCATCCTCTGGCCTCCTCCATTTCTCATAGGTCTCCACTTTGGGTTTCTAGGCAAGCGAGGGGCAGGGGCAGGATAGCTAGGGCCAGAGCCTCTGCCTTCTTGATGGAGAACCTGGAATCCAGGGAGAGGCAGGGCCACAGCCTCTTTACAAGCTTAATTCCAGGAGGGATGGCACACAAAGTAGGAGAAAGCACAGGCGCCTGCTGTCCACGCTAGGCCTGCTCTCATATGGCTGGACACCCAGCTGTGAGGAGGCCCTGAAGCCCACCTCAGCTGGGCTGTGGTCCCTGGGCATCTGTAGGGGTCTCTGCTGTCATTTTGGACTCTAGCCCCATTTGGACTCTGGAGCCTCTTTCCATGGGCAAACCCAGTCCAGGTAACCAAGATTCACACACTCAGAACTGCCCACATCCCAGAACCCCTCACTCACCCAGAGGCCTACAGTGCTCAGCCAGCCCTCCGACCCTTCCACTGACAACATGGCGATTCCAACCAGACCCCTCTGTGGCCAGCTCATGCCCCCAACCCCAAGTGAGCCTCGTTCTCTTCCTCACGGTCTGGCACAAGCATCCCAGCATGGAGGGGCAGTTGACAGTCCTCTGCTGGGCTGGAGAGGGGCTCCAGGCCTCAGACTGGACTTGCCCAACTTCTAACTGCCTGGCCTGTGTGTGCTCAGTGTGTCCCAGAAGAGGGGCCGCTGCATGGGAAGTCTGGGCCTAGGGCTAGTTGGTCAGTGTCTCCACATTCCCCGTGGCACTCTGGTGCCCAGGGCAGCAGCTGCTGAGCTGGCCCCGGTGCTGTCCTGCAGAGTGCCAGATGATGGTCCTGCTCGACCTGATGCGGTCCTACGAGAGCCTGCGGCGGCAGTTGAAAACCCCAGAGAGCAAAAGGTGCCTGTGAGCCCATAGGGAGCGCAGGGCCAGCAGGGTCAGAGTCCCTCCACCCCCATGGGGAGAGCCCATGAGGAATGAGTACCTGGAAGGAGCAGAAGACAGGGCCTGGGTCACCAAGGACAGGCCAGTGTGGAGAGCAGCAAGGCCTGGAGAGGGCGGAGCCTGGGTGTGGAAGGAGGGGAAGGGGGCAGGGCTTGGGTCTCCAAGACTAGGAAGGGGGCAGGTGCCTTGGTTACTGGCCCACTGGGGGGCTGCTCTAGCAGCACCCAGGAACGTAGCTGGACCTGCGGGGTCTGCTGGAGTGGGGCTGGGCTGGCCTGGGCTTGAAGATAGAGGACAACAGGGGAGAGGTCACCTCAGCTCCAGAGCTCCCCACCACACACACACGCACACGCGCGTGCACACACACACACACACACACACACACACACACTGGGCCCATGAGGTCGCCCAGAGGTGCCTGAGCGGGGTGCCCGGTCATGGTACCAGCTTGCACTGTAGGCTCCATTCCAGGGCTGCGACCTGCCAGGTATATTTGACAGCACTCAAAAATGCTGCTGCTTGTTAAGCTGCACCTAGCTTCGTGGCTAAGTTGATTTCAGACCTGAAGAAGCACCTGTGCAGACATGCATTTCAGCAGCGGACAGGGCGGAGGGGCTGGCGCATCCCGGGCTCTGGGTGCCATCCCGGGGAACTGGACCCCACAGCTTATTGCAGCAGTCCTTGAAGGAGCCCATTAAGACGGCCATCTTCCTGAGCCTGGTGGGGGTCCAGAGCATCGCAGCCAACCAGTGGCCCACGCGAATGCAGGACAATGCTCTGCGTGCCAGCATCCTGTGGGAAAGTGAGTGGCACCTGAGTCCATCCCCAGGTCCTTCCGGGCCCTCCCCAGAGGCCTGCCAAGGGTGTCCCCCACCCATTTGAGACACATTCCTTTCCTAGATCTATTAGCAGTCGGCAAGCCAATTGGGAGGACAGTCCGTCTCCTCCAAAAGATGGGAAACAATGACATGCTTAGCCAAGGTAAGGCGCAGACTGCCCCCATTATCACCCACCTGCAGCAGTGCATTTGCTACCTTGTGACCACCACCCCCTAGCAGCACCGGGGGTCTTGTGACATCCTCACAGCCCTGCAGAAGGGGAGCAAAGGCACTTGGGGCATGAACCAGGGCCAAGAGCAGACAGAGCTGTCCTTGTCCAGAAGCCATGACTGACTGGTGACCTCTTGAGTGACCCCTAGCTGAGGAAGGGGATAGACAAGCCCCACCTTCAACCAGGAAGGGCGGCAGTGAGGTCTGCCTCCGAAGGCCTCAGGGAAAACGTAGGGATCCTTAGAACTGCTGACTCCTTATCAGTCCAAGTACCCAAATGCTGGAGGCTCAGGCATGCTCTTCTGGAGTAAGCGGGAAGGCTCAGGTGATCCTTTGTGCCTCACTCTGCTGCCGAAGAGAAGACTTGGGGGATTGGCCACTTGGGCCAGGCAGCCTGTGAGCACATATGCCAGCTGGGTGAGCCTGGACATGCCGGTTATCCCCAGGCGAGACAAAATAACCTCTGAGAAAATGAATCTCCAGGATGAGAGTGTCCTGTTGGAGTCATAGCAATCAGCCGGTTCTGTGCTTGCTGTCTGTCTAATGCCTGACAGCCTTCAGCCCCATGGGGTAGAGTCTGGCAGGGGCATAGGGTGTGACCTGTCCTCACAGATAAGACAAAACCAAAAAACTCATCCTTTTTCTTTTTCCTCTTTTTGAGACAGGGTCTTGCTATATAGTTCAGGCTGATCTTGAGCTCACTTGGTAGCCCAGGCTGGTCTCAAATTCTCCACAATCCTCCTGCCTCAGCCTCCCAAGGGTTGGGATTACAAGTGTGCGCCACTCTGCCCAGCCCACCCACTCATCCTTTAGAGCAAACAATGCTAAGATGTAGCAGGAGAAGAAGAGATCCATAGATACATTTCATGGAGGGGTACCTGTATAAAAATTAGATAAGACACTAGCTACTAGCATTTAAAACTACATTAAGGGGATAATCTATAACTAAAAAAGTGTAGTGCCTGAGTGTAGTCACCAAAAAATAAATTCTGGTTGATTGAGTGAGTAGGTGGGTGAGTTAATAGATGCCAGAAAGGAAGGCGGGGTGGGTGGCATTAGCCCTGCTTCATGACCGACAAGAAACACAACCTAGACATGGACACCACCATGCATGCATCCTGCTGGTGTGCAGAGTGACCAGCTCACTACTTGGAGTGAAATAGGAAAGAGCAGGACCATGCCACAGCACGACCACCACTGCTTCATAGTACTCTACCAGTTTGGGCAAATACAGAGGGAGATGAGGAACTAACACAGCTTGTGTTGAAAGAGAAGGGACCAGCCTGGGCATTACCAGCATGTCCGGGCTCACCCAGCTGCCATATGTGCCCACAGGCTGCCAAGCCCAAGTGGCCCAACCCCCAAAGTCTTCTCTTTAGCAGCAGAGCACAGCAAAGCACGGCATGGCTGAGTGTGCAGCAGAGGCGTGAGGCTCGTCTCAGGATTCTAGAAGAGCCTTAGCTGACTCCTGGGCCAGGATCTGGGGGAGGGAGGAGAGTGGGCTACAGCTGGCTCTGTGGTTGGCTGTTTCCTGCTCTGGGTCACATCTCTACAAAGTGCGTGGCAGTGAGGAAGAGTGGAGGCAGTGGGGCCCTCCACAGTTGGAGTCTACTTACGAGCTCAGATCAGCCTTTTGGAAGACCCCCAGAGTCCCCTGGATCAAGCATATTACCCCTCCCCCTCATGCACTAGCCCTTTCAGGGACCCAAATATGCTGCCCCCAGTGAGTCTTGGGGTTCACGGGGCCCCATCCCATGTTCTGCAGATGAGATACCGCAAACTTCCAAGAGCAAGCTGGCGTTCTTCCAGCCCCAGCCCCGAGGCGAGGAGACCCTCCTCCCCCTTGCCCTCAACTTGGTCCTGTATGGACTGCCACACCAAGCCATTGGATGACAGCTGCCTGGCCTTGATTCTGGACTGCGGCAAGTGTCAGCGTTTTCCTCCAGGGCCATCATCATTGCCGTGCCCCTCTGAGTGCCCCCTTCCCTGGGCTCTCCTCTTCCTCATCCTGGGACATTCCCGCCCTGGGCCCACCCCAACCCTGTCCCCACCACCCAGGCCTGACCCAGGGCACACCACCTGCTCCTACTTGGCTTCTAAAAACTGTCAGACTACAAATTTGTGTTGGGCTTAGGTGTTTAAGTAAACAGTAAAAACAAACCTGCCATGTGGTTTCTGGGACCCCCAGCACCTGTGATGGAAGTCCTGACCTCCAAGGCTCAGCCCCACAGCGAGGCCCCTGATCTCCTGCCACCACCTTGGCCACAAACACCAGTACTTCCTGGCACTGTCAGAACAGAAAGGAGGATGCTCCGTGTGCAAAAGGGGTTTTCCAGCCTGGGATAGAAGAGGGCTCACACCCCATCGAGTGGCTGCCCACACAGCGCAGGGCCAGGGCTCCGTCAGGGAGCTTCTCAGAGCAAGGCAGCCTCCCGGCACGGGGTGAGTGTGCCAGCAAGCAACTCCAGGCAACACTTTTCTATCGTAAAAACACGTACATGTCAGCTCTGTAGTCTGCTGTTATGACAGCTCCAGGGAAAGCACGCATCTTTGGGTGATCCTTCTAAATCTCCAAACATTTCTTCCCGCATGACCGTGTGGATGAAATGTGGCCATTGGTAGGATAGGTTCTCAAAGGCCTTGGATGGCCCCTTCCAGCCATGTGGCTGCAGCGTGGAAGTGTGGATCCTTCTCACTCATTCAGTGGTCTCTGGCTGGACAAGGAACGGGTGTAGGATGATTCCAAAGGGCCAAGCTCTAAGCCACGGCGGATGTCCTCTGCCACCAGGGCCCTGCTCCTCCCCTCTACACAGGGTCAAGGTGAGCATTGTTCCATTTTGGTTGTCAATAACATAGTGGAAGGGCCGGGGAGATGGCTCAGTGGAATAAGCGCTTCCCTGGCAAATGCAAGGGCCTGAATTCAATCCCCAGTTCTGCAAAATAAATAAATAAATAAATAAAAATAACACAGTGGAACAGACTGGGTGAGTTAGAACGAAGATCTGTCTGACTCTTAGTTCTGCAGCTCAACAGACCGTGTCTGGTGATGGCTTCTTGGTGGCACTAAGGTGGTACAGGGGACCTCATGGCGAGAGCCGGTCTCTGCCCTTCTTTAAATACATAAATATATATATATATATATATATGTATAAATATTATATATATATATATATTTGTGTGTGTGTATTTTAGGACAGGGTGGACAGGGTCTCACTGCGTAGATCAGGCTCGTAGTGATCCTCCTGTTTACAGCCTCCCAGTGCTGGGATTACAGGCATGCGCCACCACACCTAGTCTCACTTGCAGTCTCAGCCCGCCCAGGGGAGCGGGGCTGTAGTGGTAGGCCGGGGGACCAATCCCCCCCCACCCTCCTACCCCCGCCTGCTTGCAGGTGCTTTAATCCGTTGAGCTATTTGGCCAGCCCTGCTCCTCCTCCTCCTTATAAAGCTGTAAGTATTTGGGGGTGCTCCTCCTCGATGATCTTATGTAATCCTACTCACCTCCTAAGACCCCAGTCACCTCCAGGCACCCCCATGAGTTTAGTTTCCCCTTGATACCTTGCAGTGGGGGTGAAATTTCAGCCCGTGAGCTCCTAGAACACTCAGCCCTTATCCAGACCACAGCAGGGGGCCATTTCTCCGTTCTGTGATGAGAAACAAAAAAGTGGGAACCACCAGTGGGGCGAGTGAGTGCACCATAGCTGACCCTCATCCTGACCCTTGTGGTTTGGGCCGTTTGTCCCTGCCGTGTCAGTGTCACGGGGAGCAGGGGAGGGCGGCAGAGGGAAGGAAGGAGTCCGAGGGGCCCCACCCACTACAAGTGTCCGGCGTGGAGCCCAGCACCCACTGAGAGGTCCTGCCCTCCGTCTTCTGCTCTGCGATAACACTTTTAGAGCACCAAGACTCTCTGGATCCCGACCTGTGGCCACAAGGTAGTCAAGAAAAGCACAGGTTAGTTAAAACCACGCCAAAATACGAATACCTATTAAAACAGCAAGTAAAAAATAGGGATAGCACTAATGCCTGGGAAGACCCAGCAGACTGAGTCTCTCGCCCTTTGGGGCATATGAGGTGTCCAACCACTCGGGACAGGATTGGCAGTTTCTCATGCCTGCAGCCTGGTATTGATGCCAGAGAAACAGACATATTTTGTCACAATACATGTGCGTCAATATTCACAGCAGCTTTGGTTCATAATGGCGGAATACTGGGAACAGCCCAGATGTTCTCCAGTAAATGAAAAGAAATGTGGACATGTTCCTTCGTGTGGCACCACTGGGCTACATTTTCTTCTTTTTGACTAAGTCTCCTGAGATAGTTATCTTCTAAAAAGAAAAGCGTTGTTTTGGTCACAGTGCTAGAGATTTCAGTGCGTGATCCGTGGGTCCCGTGGCTCCTGGGCTTGTGGGGCACAGCTCATCACAGCAGAGGCATAGAGTGGAGCAAAACTGTCCGCACCGTGGCCAGGAAGATTAAAAACAAAAGAACAAAGCTTGGGTCCAGGACCCCAGGAGCCTCCTTGAGGGAATGCGCCCAGAGACCGACAGGCCTCACGCTGGGCTTTGACCCCTGCAGGGTCCAGCTCCTCCTGCTAGTGCCAGCCTGAGGGCGAAGGCCTTCGTAAGGCATGTCCCTTCGGGGAGCATTGCAGATCCAAACTGCCACAATCATTCAGCAATAAAAACAAATGAACTATTAATCCAACTACCTCGATCGACCTCAAGGGTCCCTGGGGAGTAATAAAAGCCAATATCCAAAGTTATATACTGTTACAGGACAGGGACGGCGGGAGGCACAGGAGGGGGCTGCGTGATGGCCCGGCTTCGTATGCTGATGGTGGCTGTGACATCTATACAAGAGATGATTGCTAAGTACACACACACACACACACACACACACACACACACGCACACACGCACAAATGAATACCTGTAAAGGCGGCCCAGGCAGAATGTGGTCTATAGTGCTGCTTGCCACTATCTTCAACCAGTACCAGCTTCCTGCTTCTGCTACGAGCCACAGCTATGCAAAGTGCCGCAGTGGAGAAGATGGGGACGAGTCCACAGTGCCACACCCATCGTCACCTCTTCAGGGGATGCAGTCAAAGGCACCCGCATCCCCCACGCATGCACACCTGAAACTGCAGATGGTGCTGAGCGCCACAGATAGCGCTTTCTGTCCTGAGTCCTGTGTGTTGCCATGTGCCAGGAGAGTTAACTTTCTGGCTTTCATCCCTGGTTTCTCCTCAGCCTTGTTGTTCTTGCACCGTGGAGCCATTAATCAGCAAGACAAGGGTCATTTGAACACAAGTGCTATGATACCAGGACAACCGATCTGATGGCCGAGTCAGCTAGCAAGGACTAGCAGGCAGGTCGCACGGACAGCGTGGACGTGCCAGCAAGCACGGATGATTCCCATCCGTGTGGGACACACCTTAAAATGTGGGAATTGTTCAGTTCTGGAATTGTCTGCATAATAGCTTTCAACTTAGATTGACCCTGAGAAACTGACCCCACAGAGAGTGAACCTGCAGAAAAGGGAGACTCTGCTCTGCTTGTGCAGCTTCCTGTGAATTTACAATTAATTTGACATAAAAATACATTAAATGTACATCTTTGATAATGTTTAAAGTGTTGTGTGACTCTCTTTTTTGTTTGATTTTTCCTTTTTTAAAATGTGTAGTCATACTTATTCTGGTTTTTTTTTTTAATGCTAACTAATGACCAAGGAATAAATCCAAATCAGAATAACACTGGAAATATGAGCTTTATTCTAGAAAGACTTTGGCACCCACCCAAACAACAAGAATAAAAGCTTCTGGAAATATTTCATGTGCAGCCTCACATTTTTTACCTCATGCTGTGTCTGCTCATATGAGAAATATTAAACAGCAAGTGCTATTCCATGTATCAAAGGCTTTAAAATAACTTTCTGAATTATGTCCCAGCAACATAACAAATCACATTATCAATTAGCTCCTATAGCAGAAGTGGCATCCTGTAATATATTCAAGCATGAAAAAATTGCAAAGGTGAAATTTATGTAACCCTAAAAACTATAAGGAGAAAAGAAATCTCTTGGGATTTATTGGTAATAATGGGAGACAGGAAGTAATTTGAATGGTGGATGGCCCCTGAGAAAGGGCACCCGGCTCTGAAGGTTCTGAGCGCAGTAGAGAGAACGTGGGTCAGCAGGGGGCTGCCTGAGCAAGGGCTCAGGGTTCCAGAGGATGACTACCGCTGCCTATGTCTAGGCTCAGACTTTCCTGACACCAAGTGACCCACTTGTACAGGCTGGAGGTGGGGTAGGGACAAAGCCACCTTCAGGGAGGAATCACATCCCAATCAACACAGCCAACACCCAAGCCCCAGATGGCCGTCGAGGATGGATGCTCCTTTCATAGTGGATGGCATTGACTACGACACTGAAGAGTCCACCTCTCCCCTGGTGAATGTACATCACAACTGGCCTTGGGCCACTCATGGGGAGAAGGGGCTCCCTGCCCATAGCAGGGCAGGAGCAAGGGCTGAGAGGCCCACACCCACCCAGCTCACTGACTTCCTCGAAGTCCTCTCAGGCCACAGTGATGTCCAGGCCTAGCTCCTGGGCTCTGGTGTTGAGTGGTCCTGTGTGTAACCTCCCCCAGGGTCTTCGCCAAAGGCCACACTGAAGGCCAGCACTGGGGTGAGCTCCCACTTGACACCAGTGAGGAATTCCCCACTTCGAGGGTCCCTTTTAAAGCACCCTCTCCCTAAACCAGCTGCTGGAAACATAAGGAGCCATCAAGAGCTCCTGGGCAGAGCCCGGCCTCCTGTGACTTGGATGTCTTGCACCAAGGGTCTTCTGGAGGAGGACTTCCCTGCATGGAGGAGGACAGAGTAGGTTAATTATGCCTGGTAGGAGGGCACCAGGGTGGGAGCTGTGGTGAGTGAGCGGGCCACTTCAGGCAGGAAGGTAGGGAGTCATACTCGTGGCCCTGCCAGCCTGGCTCCGGACCAGCACTCCAAAGGTCGGGCCTAACAGTGCCCGACACTCCCTCGGGAGCCACACACTTGTAACCTGTAAGGGATCGCTGAAGCTCCCGCCCAAGAAGGGACGGAGCAGTGGGGACAGAACCACATGAAGGCTCTGAGGCAGCACTTTCTATTTATTCCTCATTTCACCTCTCAAGAGCAGTACCTTACAGGAGCGTCCCTGCAGGCATGACCATCAGACTCGGCAACTCTGGTCTCCTATCTTACCCTCCCAGCTTCTAGCCACCTTCCCTAAAGTGTGGGAGGCCACAGCCCCACCTGCCTGCACCTAGGAGTCCACATGGCTCCCCCTAACCAACCTTCACCTCCCACTCAGAAACTCCCGGGGCTCCTGGAATCTGTCGCTGGACTTCCCAAGAGGAATAGCCCCATGCTTCCCTGCGTGGTGTTGCCCACCCTCCTGAGCCCCTGCGAAGCGAGTCCACGTCCTGCTGGCTCCTGGCCTGGATCGTCCTCAGCAGCAGCACTGAGCAGTGAAGTCACAGTCACAGCTGAAGC